TGGCCAAAATCACAAGTCGCACTTAAAAATGGGCTCAATAACACGCTCGCTGTGATCTGGCTGCAAAAGCAAACCATGCAAGAGATCAGTCTTATTTTTCTAGAAATCAATATACAGAGTTTCGTTGGAGCTGGAGAAGTTCCAGGTACTAATTGGTGGCTGGTTATAATTTGGATAATCATTAAAAGAATCTCCTGATATACTCGAGCTATACCACATACACATATTAGAATATATATAACTTCATTCACTCACGCTCACTAATGAACAAAACAATATAGGAGATTTAAAAGTCTCATAAAAAACAAATTTATGTTGGTTTTTTTTACTGGAGCGGACGGCAATTGCTACCACTGCTACTCATGATATCTCTATGTTGACACTAGTAGTAGTGATCAAGTAGAGACATATATATATTATATAACCTATTATATATTATATATTATATTACATATATGACATACACAGCAACGACCTACACATATATATAATACATACAGTCTTGCAATACTATCTATGTAACTTAATCAGTACTTATCTCATTCCTAAGTGAATTGTGATCCGTAGCATTAAAAGGTGGTATGAATGCTTGGTCGGATTGTTTTCATTCTTCTTTAATCAGATTTCCCTTATTCAAATCATAGTTTTGCATATTCCTCAGGGCTGGGTTCCCAAATATCTTCTAACAATACCCAGCCCTGGTCAGACAGCCCTCGTTCTACCCAGGCAAGAATAACAACGCAGGGGAAAATCTGTGCTAATATTTATTTTATGCGATGACACAAATTCTCTTGATGCATCAGCACAAATCTCCGCTTCAGCAGCTTCCACATACACCGTTTCCTGAAGAACCCTGGGTATTAATGCAGAAAGAACACAAGAAGAAGAATTCCTACAGAGAAATGACAATAAAACCAGGACAAGCTGATCCAGCCTGCAGTGTTCAGACACTCAACTGTTCGGCTGTCGAGATGCTCCATTAACATTCAGTGACCAGCAGGAGGAGGAGAAACACACCCACACACACACACACACACACACACACACTTTTACACACCCAAATATTTACCCATGTAACACATTATTAACTGCACTTCATACACAGGCAGCCTATAAAGGACGCCCGCAGATGCACACATGTACAAACACATACTCACACAGTCACACAGTCACCATGAAAGAATTTGGCTTATTACCCATATTGCATCATAGTAGTGTCAGTTCCTCCTGTCAACAGCACCCCCACCAGAGGGAAACAATGAACGAGGGAGAAGGAAAAGTAACTACACTTACTACACACTACAGCATGGGTGTGTCAATATTTTCTGAGTGCAGTCAACAAGACCCCACTCGTTTTTAATCTGCTGATGGGGGTAAGACGCTCACCGCCTACAGACAGACACACAGACAGTGTGTGAGAGAGACTATACACAATAATAATACGTCAGCTGAGTTGACTTGAAATCATTTCCTTATTAGCCCGATGTTCCCTGCAGGCAGGTCTCAATTTTGTGATTACAGCAATTAATGAAAATGATTGGATCAATCTCTGCAGCATCCGACAGAGGTTCAGATCAACAGAGTGCAGGTGAACTTTAACAATTATTGCACATTCTGATATGAAATGGTTTCTTCACACTTCTTGAACACACACAGTACACAGAAGCAGAAAACAAACAGCAGCAAGCTGGAAAATATATTTTTTTTTTACAAAAGCAGCTGCTGAAATAAAGCAGTACTGATTGCAATAATCAGGGAAAATTAAAAAAATGATTCCAAGATTTCAAAAAAATTATGTTTGATCATGCAAATCAGAAGATATGGTGACTGTCCATTATGACATATATCTGCAACAGTGATATATATCATTGTTTATATGTGTTAATAAACATTGATATAAAAATAAAAGATGTACACATAAATTAGTTCTTACAAGCTTGGTGGTCATTGATTAAGTAATTCTGAATTTCAATGTAGTATTTTAATATGATTTAATTTTCTTATTACTCCACAAAATGTTGCATACAAAATTCATTATTCCCAGGAAATTGGAACTGAGTTCATCGCATTTTAGATTAATGTTGTTGTTTTTAAATGTAATGTTGCATACATTTGCCACATATTGCCCAGCCAGAACTGTTACTATCACAGAAAGCCATCTAATTGGTCTTTGGATTATTAAACAGCCCAGGAAGCACGTCTGCACTCTTCATGCATGATATGAATGCTTACTGTATGTGTGTAGCTGTAAATATGTATGTGCAAGCACTACGCATGTGTGTGCTTAATGCCGTATCACCGTAGTGCTGAGCACTGTGGTCACGCAAGCCTGAGCAGCCTTTGGGAAGTAGGTCAATGAGCGAGATAGAGAGAGATGAATGGAGAGAGAGAGAGAGAGAAACATGACAGGATATAAAGTGGAAGAAGAAAAAATAAGAGCATACACGAAGGCAGGAGGGAGAGGTGACAGTGGAAAGTTTTACTGGGAATGTACACACACACACACCATACATGGCGTGGAGGCTAGTGTGTGTGCAGTAAATATGTGTGTGCCAGTGTGTTTGTATATGCATCCCAAAGGACGTTACTGGCCTCACCCGCCTCCCTCACTCTCTCCGCTATATGCAGGTAGAAGCCTGCCGCTCGCCTGTCAACCCACACACATGACTCACACACTCCAACACAACACACACATACACACATCTAAACTTTCCATCACTAAGCCCTGCCGAGCCGCCTGAGCCCATCACTGCAAGCCAACTCCACCCTAATGTGTTTATCATTATGAATTATCAGTGAAATTACATCGCGTTATCAGGAGAATATATCACAATATCGAGGTTATTACAATCTGGACTCCCACAGAAAGGCAATTTATTAAGTTCTGATGAGTTATTGCATTAGTCGGCAGTTACTAACTTACTGCTTGTAATTGATAATCTCTTTTATTTTGAAGGCTGGAGACAGAACCAGGGTTGGGGGTTCCCGCTGTGATTGAGTGCTACGACAATCTAAACCCACATTGAGAACTGATAGTAATTATGATTGAACCAGAGGTCACACACAGGTCAAATGTGTGCGATGTGACAGTGACGAGCGCACATCTGTGCCAAGAGACCTATTTATAACACACACACTGCCTGCTGCAGCACACACACACACCTTTCATCCGAGGAAGCAACAACATCTAAAAATAACAACAAATGGCTCTAAAGCGGAGTAATGGAAGAGGAGAGAAGGTTAGTGCGTGTGTGTGCAAGGGTGTGTGTGCGTGCTACTGCACTGAACCATATCAAATAACTTTGTACTGAATGCGATAGGCTGTGTTTCTTGATAACTGCAGCTAGCTGAGTGTGTGTGTGTGTTTGTGTTTATGTGTAACAGTGCATGTTCACACCAGTCTGTGCTTGCCTTCCCCTGGCACCTGGTTGCCACAGCTATATGCCACGCTGGCATGTGTGTGTGTGTGTGTGTGTCCTCTTGTCCTCATGGTGCCTTACACCATGCCATGGAAATTTCCTTTAACCTTTTCTCTCATTTACACCAGCGCCCTTGAGATCCCTTGAGATCCCTTGCACACACAGACAGGAACACACACACACACACACACACAGAGGAGGGTGTTTGGGTTAGGACAGGAGGAAAGGTCAGAGGTC